ACTCCAGCTCATAAATTCATAATAATTCTTATAACTATAATAATTCTAATTATTATAATCCTAATAATTCTCTATTCTAAATTTTTTATATCATGTAATCACACACTATGTGGTCTATAGAATCTTATTCACTTACCTAAAGGTTTTCAAGTTCTAATCGGGTGGTAACACATGACAGTATTCCCACCCATTGAGTTAATTGACTATTGAGTTTCATTCACAATATGTCGAGTTGTTTTTTCAGATTTTCTTTATTTTCTGTGCTGGGAATTAAATTCAAGTCCTCCCACAAGCTCTGTCACTAAGCTACCTACCTGGCTCTACTAATTTTTTATATAGTATTACGGTCATGGTCCTCCCGTTGTTCATCAGTTTGCTCGAGCGGGCCCAGTAACATCTCCATCATGAGACTTGTTGTTACTGTGTTGGCATATTGAATACGTCACGGGGAGCTTGCCAGGCTCTGCCGTGCAGGCGAGATACTCTCGGTAGCTTGCCAGGCTCTCCGAGAGGGGCGGAGGAATCGAACTCGGGTCAGCCATGTTTGCTGCATGCAAGGCAAACACCCTACCCACTGTGCCATCACTCCAGCCCAGCTAACACTCATGAGTAAGGTAAAGGTAAAAGGTAAAGGCCCTCCCGTTGATCGTCGATTTGCTCGAGCAGGCCCAGTAACGTCTCCATTGGAGACTTTGTTGTTACTGTGTCTGGCATATCGAATACTCTCGGTAGCTTGCCGGGCTCTCCGAGAGGGGCGGAGGAATCGAACTCGGGTCGGCCATGTTGGTCGCTTGTAAGGCAAACGCCCTACCGCTGTGCTATCCTCCAGCCCATAGTATCACAGATCTTCTAATTTTCCCTGACTTGTGTTTTATCTTCCAATCATTTCAACATTTAGTGACATTGTGTTTTTGTTTATGCTGCATATGCATGTTCTCTCTTATTTTCATTCATGTTCTCCCCATTTCTCATGTTTCTGGCTATCGTTGATTATTTGTTGTACAATGCCATTGGAAATATGTTATTGAAATGACTTCACATCTAAAATGGTGTAATGTTCCACTTGAGGATTTTTGTTTCATTCCAAATCTCTCTAAGCACCACCCTTGGGTGTTTAGAGAGATTTGATGAATAGTATTCAATACTGCAATAGCTTTGTAAAACCTGTTCTTTCTCTTTTCTTTAGCTCCCATAAAACTCTCATTAGCACACGTTAGCGCAGAATCAGCTTTACCAAAGAAAGAAAGAAGCAATAGTCTGTTTCCAATACAAACTTAGAAAAGATTAAAAAGTTACTGAATCTCTGAAATGAAATCTAGGGGTTGGGGATATAGTACAGAAGTTAGAACCTATCTGCCTTACCAGCTGTCAATCCCCGGCACATTATATAGTCCCCTGAGCCTCACCCGAAGTGATCCTTGACTACAGAGCCAGGAGTAAGCCCTCGCTGTTGAATAAGGCCCCCAAAACAAATATAAACAAATTATTAGTGAAACCTAGTTTTTGGATGCTTCTGACATTGCTAACTATAATTTTATGCTTTCAGTATTAAGTTGGCTTTGAACTCCTTTTTCATTACAAGTTTCTGTAAATTATCAGATTTTATTGGCTCTGATTGGCTACATGTGGACCTTTTATCTCTATGGAACTTGTATTTATTATATCTACATTGAGTTTTTTAATTGTTTCTAAAATGGTTATTCCTACTCTTTTGCTGTTTCTACCCTGATTGGAAACCGGAAAATTCAGATTCCGGTTTGGTCTCTGCCAAAACTAGATGCCTGCCTGGAATTAATCCCTTTGTCTCTCTTGGTCTCAGTTGGCTTGTAAATCAAATGGGGGAAGAGTTCGATTAAGTGCTGTGTAATCTTCATTTTAGCTCCATCATTATTTGATCTTGCAAGGAAAAGAACTACTCCAAGATATTCCGATGAAGAAAACATTAAGTCCTTTGAGCTTCACAAGGACAGAGCATCCAAAGTAAGAAACACATCAAAGTTTACCAAAAAAATACAAGGTTCAGAGAAAAAGTCCAGCGGCACTGCAAGCATAAGGGTATAACCTCCAAAGAGAATAGCATGTGCCGGGCACGATCCTGGCAGCTTTAGAATCTGCAAAGCCCATCTCTGCAAGTAATTTCCAACAGCACCACCGCCAGGTGTGCAAGCACTACAATTATGGGTATTATTACCCTGTTTCTCAACCCTACTAGTGAGTATCACCAATACAGGATTGCCAGGAAGTACAACTTTCCGCGTGAGCCACAACCCCAGCATCTTGTGCGGACTAAGAGTTCCTGCCCCGACTCTGTGTTCCTGTTCTACCTAACCCTAGCTCCCTTGCAGGTGAAAAGAACACACTACTTGAAAGGACACGGTGGAGTTTGAGGGAAGAAGACAGCAGAAGGAGGTCGGCGGTTGGAGTAGAAAAAGAAAGTTGCTCTAAATATTCAGGAGGAGGGCCCGGCTCTCTATGCACCTTCCTTTCATAGCTTCCTGATGCTCGTAACCCGAGAAAGAAGAAAGCTGAAACCAAGACAGTCTTAAAACCCTGGCGTGCAAATACAAACGATATTCCTGCAGGAGGGAGAGACCGCGAGGGCTCTGGATAAAGGAAGGAACAAACAGCACCCGAGCACCCCTAGGACGGTTGCACTGATCAGCCCAGATGCTGTGGGTCCCCGGACAGAGGAAAAACCGCCGACGGAGCCAATCATCGACGCAGCAACACTTTCGACGTCGATGATTGGTGGAGAGCCGCAGAGGCTCTGCCCACACCTCGCTGCTAGGCAACGGGAAACAACCCTGCTGGGAGGCAAGTTTTGGACTCCCACACCTGGTTTTGCTCTATCTCTGGGGACCCTCCGAGGCAGCTGCTCTAGTGAAACGTGGTGAGTCGTGCAAAACGGAGCTGGGCTCTGGCTTCCAGACCAGAAATTCAGCGTGGCTTTGAGTTCTTAGGAAAAACTCAAGAGGCGGAGCAAGACACTTGCAAAGGCTTTTCAGTGGTTACCGTCCAATTCCTTGCCGATTTAGAGGGTGGGAAGTGAGAGAAACTTCCAGAGTCGGCCACGTCATCATGTGTGAGTGCCACGAGTCATACGTGGTCGGCCTAATTGTGATCTGTGCTAACTCTGAAATCTTGGCAGAGGTGGCAACAAAAATCAGAGTATAACATGAATAAGTTTGACATTGGTTGTATGTTGAAAGGTTAATATTTGGGAAATGTTAAAATATTTGTTTAAATTAAATATATTTCTGAATTTGATCCCTGAATTTGATCCACCAGGTGTAGCCCCAAGGTGAGGGGAGGAGAGGGAGAAATTGTCGTCAAATAGTGAAGGCCATTTACCACGAATCCACAGCAAATATCATACTCCATGATGAAAACTGGAAGCTTTTCCTCCAAAATAGGTCTACAAAACTAGGATAATCACTCTAATATTTACTACTAAGTATTGGAATATTGAATAATATTGGACATCCTTGCCACCACAATTACACAAGAAAGAGATATTAAAGTGGTTCGAATTGGTAAAACGTCAAACTCTCGTTATTCATAGATGACAAGGTATTATAGCACTGTAGCGCTGTCCTTCGGTTGTTCATCAATTTGCTTGAGCAGGTACCAGTAATGTCTCCATTGTGAGACTTGTTCTTACTGTTTTTGGCATATTGAATACCACATGGGAGCTTGCCAGGCTCTGCCATGCAGGTGGGATACTCTTAGTAGCTTGCTGGGCTCTCCAAGAGAAATGGAGAAATCGAAGGCACACTGGCCACGTGCAAGTCAAATGCCCTACCTGCAGTGCTATCGCTCCAGCCGACAAGGTATTATCTTAGAAAACCCTACAGTTTAAAAAAAAAACCCGAAACATTCTAAAACAATAAACTTATATAGTGAGGTGTTAAATTAATATGCAGAAATCTATAGCTTTCTATATGCAATGAAGTAGAAGATATTATTCTAAATACCATTCAGAGTTGTGCCTAAAAAGTCAAGTACTACCTGGGAACTAAGTTAATAAAGAAGATGAAAGGCTTATACAAAGAAAATTATATTCACTATTTAAAGAAATAGAAGGCACAAGGAAATGGGAGTGCATACCCTGCTCACTAGTTAAAATGATGGAAGAATTGACATTGTTATAATAACCATCCCATCCAAAACACTGTAGAAATTCAGTGCAATCCCCATAAAAATTCCCTTGGCATTTTTTTAAGGAGATGGACCTAATGCTGCTAAATTTATGTAAAGTAATAAAAGTCCCCTAAATAGCCAAAAGCAGTCCTCCCTGGGGTGGGGCGGGGGGGGGGGGAAATTGGAGATCTGTTTTTCTCTAACCTTAAATTATACTCTTAAACTATAGGAATCAGAACTGTGTGGTATTGGAATAAAGGCAGGCTTTCAGAAACAGTAGGTTAAAAATGAGAGCCCAGAGAAAAACCCTCAGATATATGGATGGACAGCTTAATTTTGACAAAGGAACTAGGTTTGTGAAATAGAACAAGAAAAGCCTCTTTAATAGATGGTGCTGGGTAACTGGTTAGCCACATGCAAGAATGTGAATCTTGAGTCCTGTCTCACACTATACACAAAGATAAATATAAAATGGACTAGTGACCTCTATGTTAGATCCAAATCCATATAATACACTGGGAAAAACAGGCAGAACTCTTCATGATATTAACTCTAGGAATCTTCAGTGCTTCTAAGCCATTTATTTACCTGTTTACCTGTTACCTGGATCCTTCTTTCCTCTTTCTCTCTCTCTCTCTCTCTCTCTCTCTCTCTCTCTCTCTCTCTCTCTCTCTCTCTCTCTCTCTCTCGGCACACCCAGTGGTGCTCAGGGCTTCCTTCTGATTCTGTCCTCAGGAATCACTCCTGACAGTGGTAGCAGCAGTCTAACCTGGGTTGGCTGGGTGCCAGGGAACTGCCTTAAACACTCTAATTTTTGTCATTCTCCCCTCCCTCCCCACCCAGATCCCACCCTTTCGAGGATGGCTGCTGGTCCTTCTGGGAGTAATTTAAGTCTGAAAAATGAGGAAGAGGAGGAAGAAAACCCTATACTTAAAAGACTGAATAGTGTAAGAGAAAAGGGAATACTGAGTTTAGTAGCACCCACAGAAGATGAATCTTCCAAACACACCTTGACATTTAAGCATTCCACCAAAGCACAGGAGAAGACGAGAAAACGACAACAGGCTGTGAGACTGGAACCTTTGGTAGGTGGGAAAAACAGCATTTAACTTGTTTTTGGCTATAAAGTTTCAAAATTCTTTGGGGCAATGGAAGTCACTTTCAGACTCTTAGTTTACAAAAACAGATATGAAACCTGAAAGTAAGATTTTTATATGACACCGAAACCGTTTGTACAAAACAAAACTGAGCGCTAGGCATTGTTTGAGGTTGGGGGATACAGAGGCAAAGTTTTCCACTGTATCAATCCTGGATTGTAAGACTTATTGTAGATATTAGTGTACCATTTAATACTGGGAACTTTATAAGAAATATATGACAATTTCAAATGATATAATTGTATAGTATTCCAAAAATGTTTAATTTTCTTAAAAGTATGCATATCTGAATATGCTTAATTTTAAGAGTATTTGATTACATAATTAAATTCATAGAATGGGGAGAGGGAAAAGTGCATAAAGCAAAAAAAGTGAAAGTTTTCTGGGGCTGGAGCTCTAGAACAGTAGGTAGGTTCGATTCCCAGCATCCCAGGTGGTCCCCTGAGTGCTGCCAGGAGTAATTCCTGAGTGCAGAGCCAGGGGTAACCCCTGAGCATCGCCAGGTGTGACCCAAAAAGCAAAAAAAAAAAAAAAAGAAAGAAAGAAAGAAAAGAAAAACACACCATATCGTATATTCATTTTTTTTAAAGTGAAAATTTTCAATGACATTCTGAAATGGTACTGTCATTAATACTTATGGCTCCTCAAGCTGTTTCATATGTTTAGAGTAAGAAAATAGGCTAAATGTTGATATTGAAAATGATTTTTAAAATTAAGCAATAGAAATCTTTAGAGTTTGTGCATGTAGAGCCTATATTAGTGGTTGCACTATAATTCTTTGCATGAGGGTATCATTCTATTATTAGTATTATTTGGTGGTTTGTTTGATTGTTTTGCCATAACCCACAGTGCTTTGGGCTTGCTGCTGGCTCTGTGCTTCGAATCACTCCACAATCTCAGGGGATTGTGTGTGGAACTGGGGATTAAAACCAGAACAGCCATGTCCAAAGCAAGCCCCTTATCCAATATACTATTTTTCTGGTTTGATCACTCTATTGTTATATCCATTATCTGATCTTCTATTGATGGAAGTTTAGGATAGTGATTCTTTGGTGCAGGTTCTTTTTATTCATTACTTTAAATTTAAATATCATTCCATTCCCTTCTTGTTGGTCAATTTTGATTTAAGAAATCAAACAGGAGTTTTCTGTTGCTTGCCTTGTATTTGAGTTTTTGTTTCCCTCTTGCTGCTTTTAGGGGTCTGTCTGGCTCTTGCTATTTTGAATTCATTGTATCATGATGTTCTGTTTGTGCCTATTTTGTCACTCTTTGGGCCACTGACATCAGTTCAACTGAATCAGTTCCCTCCTCAGACTAAGAAAGTTCTCAGCTATTCTTTCTTCCACCAGCCATTCTTCACCCTTCTCCCATTCCTCTCCTTCTGGGAGTCCTACAATTCAGAGGTTGTTCCTCTTGCTCTTGTCCACTAAACATCGTTTATATCTAAACTTTCTTCATTTAAGAATTAATATCTTTCCTGTTAACTCTTCTTTTGATAACGTTGTGTGACTTGTTTTTGAGATGACTGTTTCGATTTTTTCACTTCTCCCATTCTGCTGCTGAGTCCTCCTACTGTATTCTGGTGCTCCTTCACTTCTGTTTGAATGGTTCTTTGATTTTTTTCTATTAATCTCTCTTTGAGTTTATTGAATATCTCTTTCAGTGATTTCCTCAGTTCCGTGAACACTACAGGAGGATTGCTCTGGAGTCATCCAGAGGCAGCATTGAAAGTTCTGCTGTATTTGAGGACTGATCTTCTGTTCACACCCATTCATTTTCCCATTATTCCCATTATTCCCGATGCTCCAGGGGCAGTAGGTGTGGAACCCAGAGTCCTAGGGACTTTGAACAGTGAGTTGGTGCTTCCTCTCACAGTGTCAGCTAGTGTTCATGACACTACTTATTTCTGGCAGCGACTGCTACCTTCTGAGAATTTTTGTCAAGACTCATGGGGACAGAGCTAGGTCCAGAACTCTAACCAGGTGAGGATGGATCCTAGACAGGGGTTTAATGTTAAATAAAGAGTTTGACAGGGCAGCTACAAGATCTTACCTGACTGAAGATGACTGGTGAGGGTGAACTAGACTTCAGATTCTTTTTTGTTTTTAATTTTATTTTAGGGATTGTGGTTTATAATACTGTTAATAGGTTTTTTTGTATAAATCATTTCAGCATCACAGTCTCCACTGGTGTGTCTACTTCTCTTCTATTTTACTTACAAATATTTTTATTTCCTCTCTCATTTCTTTTTTCATACAGTAATTGTTGTGAGTTGTCTAATTTCCAAGTGTCAGTTTTTTTCCTCATTTCTGTTTGTGATTAATTTCCATATTCAAAGCATCATGGCCTGATAGGACAGTTTATATAATTTCTGTGAAGATATTTTGTGATCCAGAATGTGGTCCATAAGGTAGAATGTCCTGTTTGAAATTGTGAAGAATATGCACTAGTATTTAGGGGCATGGAGGGCCCTATATATGCCTGTGAGATGCATCCTTTCCATTTCTTCTTTCAAGACCATTTCTTCCTTCCCTCCCTCCCTCCCTCCCCCCTCTTTCCCTCCCTCCCTTCCTTCCTTTCTTTTTTTCTTTCCTTGTTGAATTTATTTGCGGGGGTAGTGGGATGCTATACCCAGAAGTGCTCAGGCTTTACTCCTGGCTCTTGGTAGGGGTAGGGGGACCATATTAGGTACCAGAGATCAAACCCAGATTTGCCACAAGCAAAGCAAGCACCCTACCCACTATACTGTTACTCCAGCCCAACTTTGTTGAATTTTTGCTTGGCTAATCTACCCAGCAGTGATAGATGAGTGTTAAACTATGTGGTGTTGCTGTCAGTATTTTTCTTCATGTCTATTAGACGCTGTTTTAAATAGTTTGATGTTCATGTTTTTTTCCATTTTTTATAATTATATTTATTGAATCACTGTGAGAGCAGTTACAAAGCTTTTGGGTCTAAGTCTCGGTCATACAATGAAAAACCTGTACCTTTACCAGTGCCCATTCTCCACCCCCAACAACCCCAGTATACCTCCATCCTACACCCTCCCCCTACCTGTGGGGCAGATGATTTCCACATTACTCTCTTCTCTCTCTACTTTGATCACATTCAATATTTCGACACCAGACCCACCATTATTATTTGAGATTTTACCCCAACACTCAGATCTGCTGAAAACGCAACAGTAGACAATTTGTTTTCTATTGCTGGTTATGAATAACATATGATGTCGAGTGGCTACAGTAGTGGCCGCACGATTTTGAAATTTTGAAATTTTAACACTTAAATCTGGAGGGATTTCTGCCAAAACCTGCTGGGTTCCGAGATTTGCTCCTGAGTCTCTGGGATCATGGCCGTTGAGCAGCTTGATCAGGAGCCAGAGAGGCCGTTCGTGGGCGATGACTTGGAGTCTCGTTGGGGTGGGGATGACCGGACTGGCTCCATCCCCATCCCGTGAGACCCTGCGTGTCTCATCACTGCAGGCCCAAACCTGACTGTCCATCTGGAGGATGATGGCCACCAAGCTGCCAGGGGGAAGCAGGCGGAGGGACAACACCCATTCCCCCCTGGGATGGCCCGGCAACAGTAACCTACTGCATGGTCCGGATGCATTTCTGCCAAAAGCTGCTAGGTTTCGAGATTTGTTTCTGAGTCTCTGGGATCATGGCTGTTAAGCAGCTTGATCAGGAGCCAGAGAGGCCGTTCGTGGGCGATGACTTGGGGTCTCATTGGGGTAGGGAGGACAGGACCGGCTCCACCACCGTCCTGTGAGGCCCTGCATGTCTCGTCACTGCGGGCCCAAACCTGACTGTCCAGTGGCCTCTGGAGGATGGCAGCCACTGGGTCGCCAGGGGGAATAGGCCAAGGCACAAAACCTATTCCCACCTGGGTTGGTCCAGAACTGGTTACTTGCTGCAGAGACCGGACGCATTTCTGCCAAAAGCCACTGGGTTTTGAGATTTGTTTCTGAGTCTCTGGGGTCATGGCCATGAAGCAGTTCAATCAGGAACCAGAGAGGCCATGCCTCCAATTATATAGCTGAGCCAGAGGTGGTTTGTGGGTGTGTTTCCCACATACCTAACTTTAGGCCATTTACTTTCTTGGTAAACTTTGCCCCCAGTTTTTGGGGTCTAGCCAAAGGCACAGCAGCAATTTTGGGGTATCTGGAAGTCTGAAGGTGCCATCAGGCTGCTGATGCACTCGCCTCACAGGTACAGATTGACCTGCTGGCGGCACCATACCCCCATGATGTTCATCTTTAGGTGCATGTATGTGTAGAGAGTGAGTTCTCTGATTATTAAGAAATAGTCAACCCTATCACTTATAACCTTTTTAATTTGAAATGTCTGTCCACTCCAGCCTTTTAAAGGGAATTATTTACCTGTAGAATTATTTTTGAGACTGTGTTTACCCTGAGTATTCAATTGTGTCTCTTGTTGGGTTAAGTTTTCTGATCCTTGTTGTCACTATGTCTCTTCGTGTGTTCAGGCCTTAGACTTGGAGTAAGATTATTGAGATGAAGAAATTTGTTTCCATCAGTTTGTAGAAGTTATGTGTTTGTGAAGCTTGATATATAGATATATTATTTTTTTTACGTTTTATTTTCACTGGATATATTTGAATTTATCAGCTCCTTTTATATTTCTGGCAAAACTGGTTTCAAAGTTATGAACTTCTTAAACTCTTCGGCCCATGAAGCTATGTATCATTCCTTCAAATCTGAATGATAATCTAGCTGAAACAGAGTATTTTTTATGATATGTTCATTTAACAGAGCTTTTTTAAACAAACAAACTAAACAGAAAAAAACAGTTATATTCCACCTTTCTCTTCTGCCCTATAGAGTCTCATTTGGTAGATCTGCTGTGAATCTTATGGGAGTTCCTTCCCATGTCAGTTCCTTCTTTGATCTTGCTGCTTTTAGTATCCTGTCTCTGTCTTTGGTTTTTGTCATTCTAATTACAGTGTGTCTTGAAGTTTTTCTCTTTGTGTCTTTTATGACTGGGACCCTTCAGACCTCTTGGATCTGGGGTGCCTGCATTCCTCAACTCTGGGAAAGTCTTTTCTGTGATTTAACCATTGTTTTTTCCATCTAATTAGGCTTCCTGTTCCTCAATAATTCTGATGATTCTTCTATTGTTCCTATTGACTCATCCCATAGTTTTCTGTTGTGCTGCTCATTTCTTTTAAGTCTTCTACCCTACCCACATCTTCTGTTGTCTCTAGAGGTTTCCTGCATCTCTCTAGGAGCTCACCAGTTTTTTTCTCATCTGCTATTACTCTGCTCTTGAGACCTTCCATTGAGTTTTAAATTTAACCTACCATACTCTTCAGCTCTCTCACTTCTAATTGTAGTTTTCTCATTCATGGTCTCATAAATGTTTGTGCTTAATTAACTACCAGCATTATTGTTTCTTTAAACATTAAGCATTCTCAACATGGCATCTCTAAAGTCATTATCTGAGAGGTTATAGAGCTGTTTGGTACTGGTAGAGCCTTCCATGCTATTTTCTTCCCTCATTGAGCTTTTTATACTTCTACAGAGCTTCCCAGTTCTGTCTACTGTGTTCTGAGGAAATATCTTTGTAATTCATTCCTGTGGTGACTCTAAGGTACCAGACTGAGTATTATTGCTTTCCTTTTGTATAGATCCTCTCAACAATGTTTGGCAATTTTTAGTTTGTGATTTTGAGTACTGATGAGGATTATTGGGCTACTTTCAGTGCCATTATGGCCCTGGCTATGATTTAAGGCTCTATGATTTCTGATTACCACCACTGTCTTTGTGAAGGCTTATCTGTGGGATAAGAGGACAAAGTTAGGAAGAAGAATTAATAACACAAGTTCCTTGGTGGCAACCAGACTTACTCCCAAGTCTGTGGGACATCATAGTAAGTGTAAGTGTGAGTGCCATGAGGCAGTTATAATCCATTCCATTTATTTTATAACTAGAAGTTGACCCTTTTGATCCCTGTTTTATTCTAATAATAATGATATTAAGTACTCTCAAACAGTTTTGTCTCTCTCAACTTTACACCTCTGGCAATTATTTACTTGTTTTCTTTCTGAGCTTGATTTTCATTTGTATGTTTATAGATTCCAGTTACAAAGATATTATAAATTGTTTTCATATCTTTCAAAACACTTAATTTGTTTTTATGTCTTGCTATTTTAAATGATGATTTGGTGAGCTTGCAGTTGCAGATAGCTTTTCAAATTAGTGTTTTTATTTTCTTCATAAAATTACCCAGACTTGGAATTTCCATCTCATATAGTAGTTCTAGTTTTAAGTTTTACAGAACCTCTAGTTTTTTTTTTAAGATGGCTATACCAATTTACATTTCCATTTATGCTTTCATAAATGCTTGTGCTTCTAGTAATGTATAAGGGACCTATTTTCTCCAATTCCTCAACAGAACCAGTTTTGGTATTAGCCATTCTAGTAGTTCAAGGCATAGATCATTGTGGTTTTGATTCACATTTAGTTATTGTTAAGCATCTTTTCATGTGCCTGTTCCCCTAAGCACTACCACATGTAATGTGGTAGTGCTTATACATGTTTAGTTTGACCATCCACATGTTTTTGTAAAGATACATATATATGTATTTATATATATAAAAATACATTTATATATGTATCTGATATGTATATAATATGTATATATATCCAGATCCTTTCACCATTTTCCAGCTTTATTTTTTGGCTATTGAGTTAGCTGGATTCTTTGTATATTTTAAATATTAACCATTCATCAGATAATGCTATTTTCATATTTAATATCCTATTTGATTGCCTTTTCATTTTATTCATAGTGTCCTTCATTGTGTAAAAGGTTTTCTTCCCCTCTTAGCTTATGATTTTGTGGTCCATTTCTACAATGTTCATTGTTGAAATATATAGACCCTACCCCCAAAGTTATGCCTTTGAGATCTTTCTGTTATAAATTTACTCTTTGGGGTACTGATTATAGTAAAGAATTAATAGAAAACAGTAGAAAATTCTTAAATAGGTCACAAACAAACAATGGTTGTAACTGTTAGAATGATTTTGATGGGTATAGGAAATAAGGAATGTGATAAATTTCCAACAGGAATGGAGTACAGTAGATAGTGAAGAATAGGACAAGCTCATGCTCCTATTGAAAAAAATTAATAGCTCTATTTTATTTCCTAAAGCCAGCTCTCAAAGTCTACCAGGACCACAAGAAACCTGAGTATATATATAGCGAGAACCGACGTCGATTAATTGCTGATGGAATCTTAGCTCCAGAAACCACCGAGGATAACCAGACTGCCAAATCAGTTGTTCAATTTCTTCAGCAAAGTACTGTAAAAAAAAAGAAACAGGTATAATATTAAAGTCTTTTATCCTGTAAATTTAATTTAGCATGGGTAACAAATTTTTTTAAGAAAAATATCACATTATCCCCCCCCCCATCAATTTTTATAATGGATTTAGTGAATATAACAACTTAGTTCTACCTATTTAAGGAAATTTAGACAGTTGAGGAAAATTGTGAACGAAGCTTTAAGCTCTATTGTCTTCTGATCCTTCCTTGCATGCTGAGTGAAGCTACATAACGGTTGCTGTTTTGTTTTTGTTTTGAAGTAGAAGAGTTTTATTTGGGAAATTCATTTAGAGGAATTTGAGAGGAGAAATAGCAAGAGAACCAGACAGAGGGACACACAAACAGACAGGTGCATTGGCTTCTCCAGGAAAAAGCCTAGAGCACACATTTCAGGTCCAGATGCAGTTTATGCCTGATACTGGAGAATAGTTTATTCTCTATCTTCCTTTCTAATTTACATTTGTTTGCTTTTAATAATCTTGGCTCATTATTTATGCGTAAACACAGTAAAACTAGTGACTTTTCTGATTTGTAATACCCAATTATTTCCTGAGAGGTTTCGGAGATTTGCTTAAGACAGAGAATATGACTCATGTTAACCAAGAAATTAATTGTCTAACTGCACGAAAGGGTTACCATGTTTGATCAATGTGAAAGACTTTCTTTTTGATGTGGGGCCATACCCAGGGGTGCTCAGCACTTACTCCTGGTTCTATGCTCAGGGATCACTCCTGGTAGTGCTTAGCGGAACAGAAAGCAGTGCTGGAGATGGAGCCTGGGAGCATGCATGCAAGGAGGAGATCCCTTGTGCTCTCTCTCTCTGGCCTGACTCTCTTCACAGGCGTGCAGTCTGACATTTAATAGTCCATCCAATTCTCCTTCAGGTTGGGAGAGATGGGGATTCCCAGGGCATTTCTCTTGATGTTAAGAGCAGGGCACAGGCAATGCTCACAGATCTGAACAAACCTTGTTTTTCCTAGCAGAGACATTCCCCATTTTTTCCTCAGCTTGCTTGTCTTAAACCTTGGGTTTCCCAGAGGTTTGCAAAGAGCCAGCAATGGTAATTCTTGTCATTTGAACCTGCTCTTGTTTCTACCCAACCCTTTGGATTCTGTTTTCCTGGAAAAGGACTTTGGAGTCCCATAGGTGGCTTTTGAGATTTCCTGTCTGTTTTAGTGGCAGTGTCTACTATAGAGAGAAAAGGTATTACCACAAAGTATTAAAAAACATACTAAAAAAAACAGGTATTTTATTCATAATATAAAATGCATCTACCCTTATGCAGTTGGTCCTAGGTCAAAAACAATCGATATGCTACTCTTTGAGAATACCTCTACTCTACTTAGGAATGTGAGGTAAAACATATAGTCTACACAGCAAATTTTTACTGTTTAGTTCATTTAGAAAACATTGATTTCCTGTAACTTTTCATTTTGACATATCTGTACTGCCAAGCACATGTTAAATACAGGACATCAGAGAATTCTATAAAACAACCTCTATATAAAAGGCTTTAGAACAGGCACTGCTAAAGATCCTGTTACACACAATACGCTTGACAAGAAAATTCGTGAATTAGCTAACACATAAGAGTCTTTAAGAGTGTTTATCCTTAGAGTTTTGATTTGTTAGGAAAACATGCCCAGGTAACAAAAGGTTTAAAACATTTATGTGGATTACCACAAAACAAGCAAATATTTCATATCTGAAAATAAAGGTTAGTTTTTTTAAAACCAAGACTAGGTTCTTCAGAGACCTGGCGATAAAACTGTTATAAAATAGTTGTTAATAACTACATTTATGTACTAGTTAGTATGAAAAAAAATGTTAATTACAGTAACTTTCTTTCATTCCCCCCACCCTCTCCCAAATTATCCATTTATAATGAAAACCAAAAGAGAGATTTCCAGGCTGCTTGTATTTAAAGTGACACTTTTGCCTTTTCCCCCCTTTTTCCTTTCAGTCAGTATCTGAGACCGATGTGTGTACAAGTACACAAGTCTCTCAGCTGGAGGCTGGCTTCCTCTGGGTAGGGAAGGGTGAGAAAGGAACTGAAGTGAGGCTTCCCAGGTGCGACTGGATCCTCTGAGTGGTGAATGCCACAGTAACACCCCTCCCTTGTCTTAGTAAACACTCGAAGGGAAATATTTGGCAACCAAGGCCGAATTTCCCATCCTTTCTCATTCTTAGTAGCATCACTGACTATGAAGAGAGAAAAGGTAAAACGGATGGCCCTAAAGTTTTCAGAGGGAATGTAACCTTTCTACTGAGGAGAGTTTCCTCCTGAGTTCCTCTGGAGATTTTTCTCCTGCATTTCTTCACCTTTCTCCTAAATAGCTTATCAGTTATGTTGCAAATGGGAGAAGTGTCCTCCACCAAAAGAAGTGGGACCCCCAGGTGACTCATGTTGTAAGTCACCTGACTTGCTACTTCGAAGATGACTTACATGAAATGGGGAGTGAGGGGGCCAGCCTTGAAAACAGTGCTTCCACTTAACCTGCTTTGACTTGCCTTGGCCACCTGGGGAAATACCTGGGAAATTTGGAACTAATCAAATCTGCCATGAGTATCTACACAGCATGGACCCTAGTGTCCTACTAGTGTCCTACTAGTCCATATGGCCAGCGTCAGGCTATGCCCAAAGTCCCACTTGATCTATGTGGCTCACCAGCTGGTCCCTACCTCTGTGTTTTGGGGGAGCTGTTCTTAGGCTGGTGCAAGGAATTGCTCTTTGTAGGAAAGAGAAAGGTGGTCCCAGCCGCTGCCCAGGTTTTCCAGGAATGTCACCTCACCTCACAGAAAAGAATTTCAAAGGGAGATGAGTAATGAATTAAAGCCTGGAGTACATATCTCAGGTCAGGATGTGGGTGAATCTACAAAATAGAGAATGCATACACATAATATTTTTAAGGTTATTGCTTTTATAATGTTTTCATCACTTCCCCAAATGATGTTGGTGAAGACCTGTAAAACATAGACTAAACAATTTGGAAAGGCAACTTTTGTAGCCAGCACAAGTTGTAAAATTGGAGATGCCTCCTACCAAAGAATAGATGGATTTTAGGGGGAAAAATCACCAAAGCATGACTTTATATGAATTCTTACGGTAATTAAAGAAAGGAACAGAAAAGGGAGAAAATATGGAGAGCATTTCTCACAATAAAAATACTATTGTAACCATATTTCTCTGAGCTTTTTATTGAGAGGATCCTTTGACCATTGTTAAACATTTCAGGGCTGGGTATCTTTCCGGGATTGGGCTAGAAATAAAAAAGCTGAACCATCAACTCTATCTTGGAAGGTTTTCAAATCTGACCCTTTCCTGACTTCTACAGGCTGTTTGTTCTCACTGGCCTTAGGGCTGAGAGGCCTGGAGGCCTTTTCAGGGCTTAGACAGCTGAGTCCATCCCTGCCCTAGGGGAACCTAAACAGGGCAGTCCTGGGTAGAAAGGGTCCAGGAGGGTGTGGCTTTCATTTATTTATTTATTTACTTACTTACTTACTTATGTGAGTGCTTGAGTGGGATCATATTTTGCCATTGAACTTAAATACAAATAATTACTCAGATGGAGACATGTAGGCCTGCTGTTGAAGAAATCTTACTGGGAATGCGGTAATCTGTTTCAGAAGTGCTAAATCAAAAGAATGCATTTTCAGTTAAATGTTAATGCTTTAATCTTAAATGAAAATTACAATATTTACGGAAACAGTGAAACAAAGCAATATTGTCTATTTTCTCAGTTTGGGTTTTCTGGTTTGGTGTCTTATTTTACGTCAAACACGGCTGCTGCTTCTCTCCCTGGCTTCTAAATGAAAGGAGAACATTAAGGCTCTTTGAGTTTATAGTTATGTTCTCCAACTTGGAAAGGACCTCAAACTGAACATTCTAGAATTCTCTTCTCTAATTTCTGCAAAGTGTATTTAGTCAGAGACAGAATGAAGACCCCAGTGAGTACAGAGCTTCCGGGGGCTCTTTCACCGAGCTGTGGTAAGTTGTTTCACCAAGCTATAGTTATCCATTTTTTTATTTTTAAAAATGGCAGCTGCTAACTGTCAATTTTTAAAGTTGTAATGTATCCATTCCCATCAGTTATTCAACAAAGCGGATCTGCAGTGTTTATTCTTTTAACGCCAATGTCCCCTTTGCTACTCCAAGAGAAAAAGGGTGATAACTGTAGTTGTGTCAAATTTCCTCAAACACCGTTATCCACTTCACTGTGAGGAATCTTGCCCCAAGTTTGTTGAGGAGGAACAAAGGAGTGTACCTGGTATCTGGAGGTGCTGAAGGCTCGGAGCTTCTGGGGGAGTAGAGCAAAACTAAAGAGTATGGGGGCTGGAGCAATAGCGCAGCGGAGAGGGCGTTTGCCTTGCACGTAGCCAACCTGGTTTCCATCCCCAGCATCCCATTCCTGAGTTCAGAGCCAGGAGTAACCCGTGAGCATCTCTGGGTGTGAATCAAAAAAGCCAAAAAAAAAAAAAAAAAAGCTAAAGAGTGCGAACATGGTGGGTACTTGATCCTAAAGCTCTAAGTGTGGCCCATGATGCAGCAGCCTCTATCTCCTGGGAGCAGATGAGAAATATAGAATTTCAAGTGTCACCCCCAAATGACTAACCCAGAAGCTGCTTGTTTTTTATTTTGGATTTTTATTTTTTGTTTGTTTGTGGGCCACACTAGCAATGCTCAGGTGTGCCTACACCTGCAACAGTGCCAGGGATCTAAATCCAGGGATCCTGTATCCAAGGCCGTGCTTCAGTCCTTTGAACCATCTCCCTGGCCCCCAGAAGCAACACTTCAATGGGAAACCCAGGTCATTCACATGCACTGCGAGCAGCTCTGTCTAAGCACAGGGAATTATGAGTGAATTAATACGTAAGCTTCCCCCCAAGGCTAGTGTACAATATTTCTTACCACTGCTACCAACCTCACATTCACAAAAAAATAATAATAATAAATTTTTTTATGACTGCTGAGGATTTCACTTACTGGAAAGCATCATGGTTGTAAGAACAAGGTAAGGGGTTGAAGAGGCCACAGCCAGAGTACTGCAGAGCTGTTGATGAGAAGAACTCGGACTTCGGTGAACCTTGGGGAGAGAAGAGTAGAGGGGTAGAGGGTGGTATATTTTGATGTAATAAATATTGAATTAAAGAAGAGGATAAGCCACTGGAAGCTGTCTCTGGGGTTGTTTTGTGAGAAGGTGTACATACACACATAAGGAGTTCTATGGAAGAAGATCTCTGCTCCCAAATAGAAACTTTTCACTTTTATGCATGCCTTTGAGCTCTTAGATAACACAGAGAAATATAGGATTTAGTTCTTTGTGTGTGCTGGGACTTGGGCCTGGGGTAGCACACCTGACTGTACTCCTAGCTCTACCCCTGGCATTCATGCTTGTGAATATATAAGGCTGAACTCAAGGCACTTGACCTGCTGTGCACTCCCTCGGTCCCTAATTTTCTTTGAAACTGACTTTATGTTTTTCCTTTTAACTCCAGAGAACCTCTTTCGAAGTTTTTGCCCCCACTCCTCCTAAAGTGTCACGTACCAGTATTGGAAGAAGAGGTCTCTTTGCGACTCCTTCCTCATCTTATCCTACACACTATTACAATGACCAGGAAGAAGTAGTTAAAGCCAACATTCAGAATCCTTTACAAATTATAAAAATAATCCGTGAAAATGAACATCTTGGATTTCTTTATATGATCCCTGCTGTGCCAAAGTCTTCCATTGAATATGATCCATATAACCTCAAGTGAGTTTTTTTAATGGCGTATTTATTTAAAAATAAAAATTGCAAATAATATTGAAAAACTATTCATAATGGCATAATGATAAAACCAATCAAATGCAATTGATTTTTACAGTGATAAATGAATCTTTCAGTTGAGAAATTCATAACTTAAAAATTTTCATGTGATAATTGGTGACATTTAGTTTCAGGTGTAGTGATTGGATATTTGTGTACATTGCAAAGCAATCAGCACAGTGAGTCTAGTTAACAAACATCACCATACATGTTCACTAAAGTTTTTTCTTTTGAAGATAACTTAAAATCCATATTCATATATATATATATATATATATAGTAACACACAGAGCTAGAATACATATATACATCACATAAAAGCCATGGGGTAAAACCTACTGAGACCACTGTTCATATATGTTTTCCACTGCTGACTAAAACATTGACACAGAAGTATATTCTCTTATTAACTTCCAAATGTGCAAGCAAATATTATAGTTTCATATCACTATGCTGTATATTATGACATTTTCTAATTGGAAATTCTGTTTTCTAATTGAAAGTTGAAAACTTTTGTCTTCTTTCACCTACTTCACTGACTTTCTTTGCCCTCTGGCAACCACTAGTCTGTACTCTTAGCTATCTGTCTTGACTTATTTCTGGTTTTGTTTTTAGTTTCCACATATCAGTGAGATGATACATTATTTGTCTCTTTCTGACTTATTTTACTTTGGTTTGTCTATATTATTGCAAGTGGCAGGATCTTATTCATTTTAATGACAGTAGTATTACATTGTATGTATTGGGTCCATCTGTTAATGCTGTGGACTTGTTTTGAGAAACGCATGGTTAGATGATTTCAGTAGTTGTGCCAACATCAAAATATATAATTACACACACTAGGATGACACAGTTGCTGCACACCCGTGCTGTATGGTATAGCTTATTGGGACCACCATCGTCTACACACACTGCCATTACAGGGATGTGAGGGATATCTGACTGCACACCACAACACTTTTATCCACTTACACATTGATGAATATGTAGGCTGGATTCATGTTTTTGCCATTGTAAACAATGGTGCAGAGAACATGGGCACACAGTTATCTTTTCCTGTGAGTGTTTTTTTCCCTTTAGAAGATTAGTCAAAAGGGGAATTGTCAGTTACTCTTTTTGGAGAAACTTCCATGCAGTTTTTTCATACTGGCTCAATACATTTGCATGTCTAACCGACATACACAAGAGTTCTTTTCTTCACTTCCTTAACAGTGTTTGTTATGTCTTGTCATTTTGGCAAGTATGAGATAACATTTCATTGTTATTTTGATTGTATTTCCCTGATTGTCCTCCCTTTGTTCATCAATTTGCTCTAGCGGGTCCAGTAACATCTCCATTAGAGACTTTTGTTGTTACTGTGTTTGGCATATCGAATACATCACAGGTAGCTTGCTGATGGTTAGGAATATTGAGCACCTTTTCATGTATACTTGATGTCATCTTTCAGAAAGTGTCTTTCCAGATCTCCTGCCTGATTTTTTAACTGGATTGTTTGAGTTTGTTGTTGTTACTGAGTTGTATATGATCTTTTAAATTTTTTTTTATATTGACCACTTGACTTCCTGTTAATCATCAATTTGCTTGAGCGGGCGCCAGTAACAACTCCATTTGTCCCTGTCGCGTGCTAGTGTAGCCCAGTGGCGTCTGTTCGTTCTAGGAACACAAAGAGCTTCAAACCAATAGTTCAGGGTCTTGACGAAGAAGTTCGACCATCTGGTAGGTGGGCGGCCACACGGTCTTTTGACATCCCGTGGAATCCAGTCGGTAACGGCTCTAGTCCAGTGGTCATCTCTAAATCTCATTACGTGATCAGCCCATCTGATTTTTGACACTTTGGCAAACGAGACAGCGTCCCTGATTCTTGATCATCGACGGAGGTCGGAACTCCGGATTCTTTCTCTCATTTGAGTGAAACGTAATATTCCAAGCATAGCTCTTTCAATTCCTCTTTGGGAGACCCGAATAGCATTCTCATCCAATGAGAAAGAAGAGAGAAGTTAAGATGTTCAAAAGAGAGCACAGGCTTTTCCAGAAGTTCTCCAGAAAAGACAGCAGAGAGTCTACACCTCGGATATGCACTCAGATGTGGGCTACCACTCCCAGAATAGAGAAGTATCCCACTTGTCTTTGTTGAGTAGGTTTTATAGGTTTTCTGCCAAACTGCCCCAAGTGTTATTTTCTATGTAGATCAGAGTCCATTGCTATGGCATTGTCAAAAGAAAGAGCTTGACACTTTGGGTGTCCACCTTCACATCCTTATCACAACCTCTGTTCTTGCTGGAGCTTCTCTCCAGGGAGGGTCCAGCCTTCTCTGGGCCTCTGCTGGTGCCAATTAGACTTTTATTAAAAATCAGTTTATGTGTCCACAAAATGGGTTTTCCCATAATCTTTTTTGGCTAATTTTGGGCTAGTGACAGAGTCACTTCCTTGAATTCCATCGTGTTATTATTACTTCCTGAGAATTCATTGCCAGGCATCCCCACCCCACCCCAGCTATACCAAGCTATCTACTTCACAAGGATCTTTAGTTAAAGAATAATAAAGGCTTCTTCTATATCAGCAAAATAGGTCTATTAGAGTATAGCAATAGAACAACAAAGTTCCATTTTAAAAGAAAGTTCAAATTGGCTAAAGTACGTGTTTAAAAAAGACTAATTTTCCTAATCATTTCCTAAATAAAAGGGTATGATGGAACACACATCCAAAGCAAGTATCCAGAAGACAATTGAAGTTAAAATCTGAATTCTGAAGTTTTATTTTTTGTTTTGTTTGCACAGTGCTGGCGGTCAAGCTTAGGTTTTAACATATAAGGCAAGTTCTCTACCGCTGAGCTACTGCCCCAGCTCTTGTAGCCAAGTTCTGAATGCCAAAAAATTCTGAATAGTTAAGCATCAGCAAAGGAATTGTAGATCAACCTGTGGAGCAGATGAGCACTCCAAGGCTGAGGATGTGGAGTAAAGCACAGAAATTCCAGGCCTATATTTGGGGATTAAACCCTCAGTAATGAACTGGAAAATCTAAGAATAGGACTACAAAGAATTCTGCAAAAGCCCTCAATGTATGCATATATATATATATATATATATATATATATATATATATATAGCCTTTTGGGTCACACCCAGCGATGCACAGAGGATACTCCTGGCTCTGCACTCAGGAATTACTCCTGGCGGTGCTCAGGGGACCGTATGGGATGCTGGGAATTGAATTCAGGTTGACCCCATGCAAGGCAAACGTCCTACCCACTGTACTATCGCTCCAGCCCCACAGATATTTTCTTGACCCTGATGCCTCTTCCTACTACTAAGTGGATTGGGCCTGAGGGAAATCTGTACTCATCTTTGAGAGTATCATTTTCTTAGAGTAGGAAGGAACAAGATTGGTTTTTAGACACTTGAAGGATGAATGTATACATTCTCTGTATATAGCAAACTCATACTATTAAAGGAAATTTTAATTAAGGAATAAGTGGTAATTTTCGGTAAAATGGACATTTGGTCAAGGAAAAGCTTCATATACCTGAAGAGGAACACTAAAAAAATAAAGAGAAGTTCTATACATTTTTAAATTCAGAGGAAAAGTAGCCCGAAGCCAGGAGATGAAAGGTGAAAGGTGAAATTCATCCTTTTCCATACTTTTGAGGGACTCATGAAAGAATCCCATAAAAACACAGTATGTTAATGTTCTAATGAAAGTAGGAGAAAGAGCATACCTTGGACACCATCCTGCTTTTGTTCTTTGTGTTCAAATGAAGTTAGTGATTCACAAATATTGTGTATCAAATTCACCTATGCAGCTTGTTAAACTAGACCACTGATGACCATAATTAAAGATTCTGATTCTGCATTGTGCTCAGAAATCTAAACTCTTAATAATCAGCCCTGATGATTTTGATGCTGGTTGATTCAGTCTTTGAAAGAGATTTGAGTGTGTTCATTAACCCTCTGCCATAGAGAGCAGTGTAAAGAAGGAAAAGACTTACAAGTTGAACATGATGAGGATCTTGCTCTTCTCCTTTACTTCATCCATTTCTTCATATGCATAAATTGAAGGATTTCTTTGATGACAGTTCAAAGAGAGATACATTTAAAACAAATTATTTGTCTTTTTAATTTTTTCCACAAAACCTGTAAGTGCTGGGCATGCTTCTGCATGCAAAATGGATACTTTAGCCAATTTGAACTGTCTTCCTGGGCCCCAGAAAAGCACCCAAATGATGTTAAGGATGTCCAGGAAGGCCCTCCCTGAGATGGTCTGCAGTTCATTGTGAGGGCCTTGAGGGCATGGTGCTGCAGTTATTGGATTACCAGGGCCACACTCCATGATGCTGAGAGTGTGGCATGGATGGGGAGATGGGGGAGGGGGCAGTTTCCAGGGACGCACCCTGCAACGTTTGTGAAACTGTGCGCCCACAGGCAAAGTAGGTGCCTTACCCCCTGTGCTCGCTTCAGCTCCAGAAATTTTTCAAAACATGTTATTTTTATTATGTGATGAAATTGATCTTCATAAAGCTTTATCTGTGTCTTGATTCTAATTTTATCTAAGTCATACTTTCGTTTACCTTCTAAATTCTGTCAATACTGGTAACATAAAATGCTTTATTATTATTTCTAAGAGTTAGTAAAAAAACCTTTTTCCAGGTAGATAACATCAAGGGTCATGCTGTTTTAAAAATCTGTAATTTATTTGATTTTGTAAAAATCATGAAAGTAAAATTATCAAACATGATTGGCAAGATTATGAACTCTTTAAGAGCTATAAAATCCCCAGATGTTGGTTAAAAGTAGCTCATTCCTTTTTCTTCCCTTTCTTTTTCTCTTCTATTTCCCATTTCCCTCTTCCCTTTTTTCCCTTTTATATTTAATATAAAAGTAGATAAATGTCACAAACTCTGGAGGTTGCCAACCTCTAAAGGTTGCCAAGTGGGAGCTGGGGAAGAAGGGACTTTGATTCAATGGTGGAAGATATTGACACTGGTGATGATGTGGTACAATAGCATTGTTAACATAAAGCAGTGATATTAGTGTTATTGTAATGATACCATGACACCTCAACTTATAAAATAATGAAAATCGTTAACATTTTTAAAATTTTGAATTGGGGCTGGAGCAATAGCACAGCGGGTAGAGCAATAGCACAGCGGGTAGGGCATTTGCCTTGCACATGGTCTACCCGAGTTTGATTTCCCGCATCCCATATGGTCCCCCAAGCACCACCAGGAGTAATTCCTGAATGTCTGAATCAAGAGTAACCCCTGTGCATAGCCGGGTGTGACCAAAATAGAAAATAAAAATTTAATATTTTTCCTGAAACATTTTATCTCTGCAAAACAAAAAAAATTGCTTAATTTTGTATTGATGTTTTACTCACGATTCTCAATTTTTATTTGTTCATAGAGTTGTGACCTACGATAACATCAACAAAAATGACTACTACACTATTAGCAAACAAGCAGTAACACATGTTTTAAGTTATGACATTGAATATAATGAGCTTGAACGATGGGAACAGGAATACCTCTATCATAGGGAGCTTATTAAGATTCCAATATTTTCACTTTTCCGAAAATGGAAAGCTTTTACCGTATGGAAGAAGAATGTCCGCTCCAAGAAAATCAATGGATGCCAAAAAACTCTACAAAAATATTTGTTCATAGTTAATCAAGTGAGTATTTCTTTTCTAATGAATTACTTGCTCAAATGAAGGCTTGAGTTTACTGCGAGTGCTCACTATAGAATGCCTCTAAATTGGGATGTTTTATCTTTTTTTAAGGGCATAAGACTAGCTTATTAGAGAGCAGTGTGTAAAATATAATGAGTATGCATTATGGAGTGCTTTGACTTTTTTAAAGAAGTAGCTAGAGGGACTGGGGAGAAACCTGATCACAGACATAATACCTCACAGGTACAAGGATCCAAGTTTGTTTTCAGACTTTCCTCTTTCTTCTGTTGTTTTTCTAGAGGTTTCCTGCATCTCACCTTGGGCTCCTTGATCTTTTCCTCAGCTGCTATTGTTCTGCTGCTCAGACCTTCTGTTGAGTTTTTGTGTACTACTACCAACCATACTCCTCATTTTGTCATTTCTGGTGGTAGTTTTTCATTTCTGCTCTTACATTTGCTTGTGCTTTGCTGACTCTCTGTGCCATTGTTTCAGCAGTCATCCTCAAAATGGTGTTACTTAAGTCATTCTCTGAGAATTTACAGAGCTAGTTGGTGCTGGCTGAGCCTTTTGTGTCACTGCATTCTCTCACTGAGCGAGGTGGATTGCTACATGTTTCCCCATTGGGTACACTGTGCTCCTGCTGTGCTGAGAGTTAATCTTTGTAGTTAACCCCACTGAGATTCTCTGAGGGATTAGGCTGGGTGTGACTCTTGCCCTTCCTGATCCATCCTCATCGAGGGACATGAAGTTTAACTGTGAGAGATGAGATTTGGTGAGTAGCGCTGTCTTGAGGTTATGTATGGGACTGTGAGCTTCAAATGTGGAACTAACCACATTTTGGAAGTCGACCTCACTTGCTGGGGGAATAGGCAGTTGGAATGGAGAAGAGACCGCTAAGTAAATGATGGTTGGAGGAATTGCTTGGGATGGGAGATGCATGCTAAAAATAGACTAAGGACCAAAAATGCTGACCTCTTAATATTTGTATTGAAAACCATGATGCCCCAAAGTAGAGAGAGAGAGAGAAGGAATGCACCTGCCACAGAGGCAGAGGGTGGGATGGGGTGGGAATGGTGGGAGGGATACTGGGAACATTGGTGGTGGAAAATGTGCACTGGTGGAGGGATGGGGACACAATCATTGTGTGACTGAATCTTATCGTGAAAGTTTGTAACTGTATCTCACAGTGATTCAATAAAAATATTTTTAAAAATATAAGAAAAAGAAATAGGAAAATTGTGGAACTGGGCCTGTTGAGATGGTGGAGGTGAGGTAATGAGGCTCAATGTTTTTTATTTTTATGAGAATTCACAACTTTCTTCTTGTCTTAGCATTTGTAAGTCTAGAAGGTTAACGGTTATTTTGTAGTTTTAGTTAAGGTTGCAAAACGTAAAAATATAAAAAATAGAGTTGCATAGTCTCCGATATTAGAAGCAGCCCAGGGTGTGGAGGGGCTGGATTCATGATCCTCTTTGTTGTTGTCCAAGAAAGACTTATAAAGGTTTATTGTTTTGAGCAGATTAGGCTAGCCACTAACCCTTATTACTTCCTTTTATCTTTGAGACACTGTGAACTTCAGGTTCACAATCATTTGGTGACTTGTTTTTCATAGATCATTACCTCACGATGCTGCATATATTTTCTTTTACCTGATTCAGAGAGCAGGGAAATTTGGTGGGGTGTGTTAGGGAACAGCTGGTGATATTTAGAGATTTCTCCTTGCTCTGTGCTCAGGTATCACTCCCTGCCTGAGCTCAGGGCACCATAAGTGGTGCCAGGTATCGAATCAGGGCTGACTGTGTGCAACACATGTGCTTTACCCCTGTACTGCTCTACAACACTGAAAAAATTTCAATATTTGCTTTGGAGGATGGATAATCATAGGAAGGGAATTTTAAAGGGCATATGACTATATTTAAATAGTCACTAAATCTACTGAATTTCAACTGTGCTAGAAGTTTTCTAGTTGGGCTCAAGAATGAACTGGAATCATAGTTAATCATATGCTAAGACTATGGTCTCTTTCTGCTGTCCTTTTCAAGTAAGAAGCTTCAACTTCACTTTGTGTTTGATAATCTGAAAAATCATTATTTAAACCTTGGCTATTAAAGTGTTGTTAAAGATCAATAATGAAAGATCATTATTAAAGTGTTAGTTATTAAAATGTTATTAAAATTAAAGAACATTAATGCAATAGTATTGACATAGATACCAGTGCAAAAGAAAAACCCAAAGAGTGTGGCCGCCCCAAAAAACAAATCCTAAAATTTTCATTCTCATGGCATCCGTCATAGCAAGGATTTTGTCTGAGTTATAGGAAATATTATAGCCCTTAATGACATCAACTTCAACCCCTTGACATCTAATTTTGTTAATAACCCTTTCATTGTTTGAACCTGTTTAACTGCCTTTTTTCACTACCACATATCTTCTATCATGTATTGGACCCCATAGTCCACAAACCTGTTTCTCAAAAAAAAAATTCCTGCTGTTTAATTTGACCTCTATCAAGGTCTTTTCTCATATTTTGCATGCTAAGTATTGGATTTTCTCTGTCCAACATACTGATAGTGCTTCAGCCTTAATGATATCTTCTCTTAAATATGGCCTTAGCAGGCAAGAAAGGTCTTATCCTTTTAAATTTAGATTGATCTATATACGATTTATGGATTAGCTGTTTTCTGTGATTATCCACACACTTCTCACCAGTCTCACGTTGTTAATGTGAATCTATCTATGAAATGTTAGTTTTAATCACACCCTGTAATGTTGGAACTAGAGATACAAAAGTCATTTCTAGTCATGCTGCCCTTAGTAGTATGACTTTGAAAGTTTAGTGCTCGGACCGGTGCTGTAGTTCTTACGGCCTCTCAGGGCCACAGGTGCTATGACCCACCAGGGCTCCTCCAGCAGTGCTGGAGACCACCGAGGCAATGCTCAGAGGACCATGAGTGCTTGAAACCTTATTAGCCTTTGCCTACATTTCCATGTAAAATTTTGATTGAGATATAAAATTACTTCAATTGAAATAAAATTTTAATTTAATTTCATTTTTAAAGTACACGGCTCAATGGTTTTTTATTAACAGTTGATTAACCATCCTCACAATGTTGTAATATTTCCATCATTCAAAAAGAAACTTCACAGGGCTGAAGTGATAGCACAGAAGGTAGGGTGTTTGCCTTGCACGCGACCGACCTGGGTTTGATTCCCAGCATCCCATATGGTCCCCTGAGCACCACCAGGAGTAATTCCTGAGTGCATGAGCCAGGAGTAACCCCTGTGTAATGCTGGTGTGACCCAAAAAACAACAACAACAACAACAACAACAAAAAAGAAATGGCAAGTCAGAAATTCTTTTCTTATTTTCTTGTTCCGGATCTTATGAGAAAAGTTTTTTGTATGATGTTATGAGGAAATTGGTACTGTTAAAACTGCTGAATAATCTTATCATGAATGCCTATCAAACACTTATTCTGTGTCTATTGAGGTTGTCATGCAGATTTCTCCTTTTATTCTATCAATATTATTTATCTGCTCTCAGTTTGTAACTAAAAGACATAACTAAAAGACATGCTTTCAAAATGAAAAGAAAGTAATTCAGACAAATTAATCTTGACCTTAAAAAATAAGGTCAGGACAAAATCTCAGAGAGTTCCTGGTTAATATATGTGCACTGCATGAGAGGGAGAGAGAGAGAGAGACAGAGACAGAGACAGAGACAGAGACAGAGAGAGGAGAGAGAGAGGAGAAAGAGAATAGAGGAGAGAGAGAGAGAGAGAGAGAAAGAGAAAGAGAAAGAGAGAGAGGAGAGAAGAAAAGTGCCTGCCACAGAGGCAGGAAGAAGGTAGGGAGTGATGGGAGGGAAACTGGGGATGCTGGTGCTGGGAAATGTACACTAGTGGAGGGATGGGTATTGGAACACTGTATGACTAAAACCTAAACATAAACAGCTTTGTAAGGGTCTATCTCACAGAGATGCAATAAAAAAAAATACATTGCTGTTGTACCTAACATGGACTATATAGTTTTCTTAATAACATTGTTTCCTAAGTATTTACAAACTTTAAAAGAGAGTTAATAATTCCTATTTATTAATAAGAAGTCTTTAATAATAGTCTTTATTAATATTATTATTAGTCTTTAATAATTTCTATTTCCATTCAGAATTTACAACCTGCTCTTCTTAAAATAAAGGAAATGTGCTATCAATTAAGTTTTATGGCACTTTGCAGTATTGAAAGAGGTCATACTTACACCCTGCAAGAATTTAGGAAGGCCCAAGTTAAACGTCTAGGAGAGGTAGGAAATTTTGTTTCAAGTTTCCATTTTCTCTAAGCCTCAAGATTTCCTTTCCCTATTAGTGCTATTTTGCTTCCACTAATTATGCGTACTTGTAAATGTCTAGGTGACAGAAAACCTGGCAGAATTTCGAAATGAAGCTAAACAAGTAGTCAGGAGAGCATGTCGAATTGCTCTGCGTGCTGAAGGGTTTGTTCCTGATGACTGTATAACTGAAGGTATGAAGTGGCTACTTTCTGAAACACTCTTTCAACGTACTCTAAGTTTGTTTTTGTTTTGTTTTGTGTTTGGGGTCACACCCGATAACACTCAGGGGTTACTCCTGGCTCAGCACTCAGGAATTGCTCCTGGTGTGTACCATATGTGTACCATGGATGCCAGGGATCGACCCCATATTTCATGTCGGTAGCATGCAGGGCAAATGCCTTATTCGCTGTGCTATTGTTTCAGCCCTAACTTCTCAAATTTTAATTATTATCTTACTTTCCAACTTGCCACACTTTAATAGGTATTACTTATACATTGGTTTGTCCTTTCAATATGTACATCTTGAAGGTGGAAAGAAAACAATAAATACTGCATTTTTCCTTGCTTGTGTATAGAATTTCTAAGTTGGTTACAAAACCTTTGTCACAAGCCATTTATAGCACCTCACTATTAAGCACCATTTTATAGTGCTAAAGGGTCTGTCTACTCTGGTCTGGTACAGGCAATAGGTTTGTTAAAAATGAGTGCCTGGGTTGGTCCCAGCTAATTAAAATGCAGGTGGTAAAGGAGAGTAACTGTGTTCTTGGGAAAGAGGTGCCATAGAAAACATCGATCAAGTGTTGTTAAAGACAGTTTAAGGAAATCATCTATAGTCTTTTGTGGAGTTGAATATTTTTGATGTGGCGCTCTTTTGGAGTTTGAAATATTACATGACCCAAAGCTTTTTTTTTTTGGTATTTGAATTTTCTTAAAAATAAATGCCATTGTTCACAAGAGTTGTTGTTGTGTCTTCTTCCCGTTCTTAGATTTTTACAAAGTATCAGATGGTTTTGAGTTGGCTTCTTTTGGAGACACTGAGAAAATGACTTACACAGAACAGGCCAGCAAAAGGCATCACTGTGTGCGGCTGACATGGTAAATGCCATTTCTCTTATGAAAAAAAAATGAGCACATGTGTTGCATCCACCCTGTATCACTGTATCACTGTCATCCTGTTGTTCATCGATTTCCTGCTCGATTTCGAGCAGGCAACAGTAACATCTCCTTCATCCTAGCCCTGAGATTTTAGAAAGTGCCACATTAGAGGCTCTTTCAGGGTAAGGGGAATGAGACCCTCATTGTTACTAGGTATTGGCATATAGGATATGCCATGGGGAATTTGTCAGACTCTGCTGTGCGGGCAGGATACTCTCAGTAGCCTGCCAAGTTCTCCAAGAGTAATAACTAGATAATAAGAGACATTCACAGCCACATGCTTCCGGGAGCTGGGTTTTATAGTCTCTGGGTCTTGGCCATTGATGAAATAACACGGCACCAGGGGCATTTGGTGGGTGTAATGCCTACCTACTGGAAGATGGGGGATCTGGGTGGAGGAGGCCCAGTCCAAATCTGAGCAGGCTTGGAGATCTCAGCCCTGGGTCCCGCGTGCCTGGGGTTCCTCTGCCGTTTCCTTCATGCGTGAGGCTCATCCGAAAGTGTGGAGAGTGGTCTTAAGCATTACTGTGGCTTGTTCCAGAGGTCTTCGGTTGTCAGGGCTCTGCTTGGGGTGGGGAGGGAAACTCAACTCGCCCCACTCCAAGGGGCCCCCTGGTGAGGACAACCAGGTGTGGGGTCAAGAGACTCTGCGCACTCTTCTCAAGTTTCATTAACAATTAAGACCTTCATCCCAGATTCACTAACAGTAATGAGGCATTTGAGGGCTGTGATAACCTAACAGTAGAGCCTTTTCCTCCAGTTGCCAACAAATAGAACAGCCTTTGGGGATGGCAAGCTGAGAATGGAACCACACAAAGTGGAGGGCGACTCTGATCTCTGAGCCACTGTTTCTTTCTAGCCCATTCTGGAACCTGGGCTAACTCTGCTATGCCTGCTAAGGAGAAGTTAGTCACACAGAGTTAGTCCACTGGTCATCTTCTGTAGACCTGGAGGACTTACCTCTTTAGGCTACTAACGTGCTTCAGGCAACTGTATTACCACATAAAATTTCACACTCTCCCTGAAATGTGTTAGACAACTGGGAGAGCAGAGAGGAAAGTCATCCTTCCAGGTGGGGCCTTGTCAGAGGTTCATTTCTCACTAACATTACTTCTGCCACCTGCTTACCCAACTCTGGATCCTGACATTGACTGTTACAGCATTTGGATTTTCCATTATTCTAAAACCTTTTGTAAAACAAATCACTCTGAAACAAAATCCCTGAACATTATCTGAAGAGTCGGTTACTATTCTCTGTGCTCACCTAGTCCAGCTTTGACAACTGTCTTAACTGTGCTAAATTGTTTCACCATAATAGTTTATGTATGAGATCATATCATAAACAAGGTCTTCATCTAAACAATGGTCAATAAAGCTGTCCCAAAGGCCACCTTGTAGACCTACAGATATTAGAGGCTTTTTGGGTTCCAACTAAGCTGAGTAAAATGTTTATGTTTTGCTCATTCATTTTGCATCCTAAGCACTTCATCAAGGGAAGATAAAATCTGTAACTTCAGTTTAGTAGTTTCTGTCAAAGCAACGTTTAGTAGCAAATATATAGCAAATGTACTATTAGAGTGTAAGTTATCAGTGTAAGTTACTGATATTTCTAAAGCATCTTAAAAACATCTTTGTTCATTTTGGCTAGGTGAGCTGGGTGCTTTTTCCATATAACTATATTGTTCAATAAATAGCATATTGAATGGTTGGAATACTAATCTATATTGATGCTGTATATTTTAATATACTTGTATTTTAAAATGAAGAATGCCTAAGAACTACTCTTCTGGACAATGAATAATATTGTAACATAAATGTAAATTTAAGAAAAATTGTATTTTAACATGTTTTAACTTGCTTTATAGTCATCTCTAAAAATATGTAACAAATATAGAAAACTGAAGCTAAATGTTTTTTTCTTTTCAAGCTTTATTCGCCTATGTGACTATTTAATTGAGAACACTCTGCACTTCCTCATAGTAAATTCTCTCAGGTCTCTTTTGAATTATCTTTCTGAGAAGTTAAAACGAACACCATCGGCAGATATTATTCAGAAATGGATTACTGAAGATAAACCTGAAGTCACTGATAAAAAGGTCTATTCAGTTAAAAATATTTTAATTCGTTAGTTTGCATTTATTCAGTAGTATTTATATAAGTTATTCTGTTTGCTATGTAGTAGAAAGTAGGAAAACTCCTTAGAGGAATTTGCAATATAATCACAGCCAATCATTTGTTATTAAGTGATAGAATAAAAATCATCTTGGCAACAAGATACTAACAAAAGAGAAACAATCTACTCACTGCATTGAACATTGCTGTGTCTCTCCTAGGATTCTACTAAGGTTATTCATATGTTCACTAAACTAATCTTTCTTAAGTATACCTACTGTGTGCCAAATGTTGCATAGATAGTGATGAAAAGTTTAGATCCTCGTTACCCAGAAACTTAGAGTTGGGAGTTATCATGACATGAATTGCCAAAGAAAAGGTGGTAAGGTGGGATAAATGAAGAGAAGAAAAATAGCAATTTGAGATGATTAGGAGCAAATCATGAGAGCAAACCTTTGTTCTTTGAATTAATAACTTCTTGGAAAGACATTAGACATGTGGGTATTTGAGATCTTTACCATAAAGTAGTGCCAATTTGTGCATTCTTGCATAGCTGAAAACAAATCATATTGTCTCATAGGTAAAGGTAAAGGTAAAGGCCCTCCCGTTGATCATCGATTTGCTCGAGCGGGCCCAGTAACGTCTCCATTGGAGACTTTGTTGTTACTGTGTTTGGCATATCGAATACTCTCAGTAGCTTGCCAGGCTCTCCGAGAGGGGCAGAGGAATCGAACTCGGGTCGGCCATGTTGGCCGCTTGTAAGGCGAACGCCCTACCGCTGTGCTATCGCTCCAGCTATCCACATTAACCAAGAAACTTTCTTTCTCTCATCCTAGATAATAACCTCATGACAGATTACCTAAAAATAGCAAAATGTATTCATTTAGGGCTGGAGCGATAGCACAATGGAAGCGATAGCACAGTGGTAGGGTGTTTGCCTTTAACGTGGCTGACATGGCCAGACCGAGTTCTATTCCTCCCCCCTCTGGGAGAGCCAGGCAAGCTACGGAGAGTATCTCGCCTGCAAGGGAAAGCCTGGCAAGCTCCCCATGATGTATTTGATATGCCAAACCCAGTAAGAAGTCTCGCAAGGGAGACGTTACTGGGCCCTCTCGAGCAAATCAATGAACAGTGGGAGGACAGTGCTAGCTTTATTAAGTTTATTACAGACATATTTCAACTTTCTCCCCCAGAAACCCCAAAACGTGATTTCTCTAGCACATCATTTAACTATTCATCAAAAGCTGAATTTTCATTCTCTCCCCCGCACCCCCCCCCCCCCGCTTTTTTTCTTTTCCTTTTCTTTTATCTTTTTTGCTCTTGTTTATGTTTTGAGCCACACCTGACTGTATTCAGGGCTTATTCCTGACCCTGTACTCAGGGATCATTTTCACGGGTCTTGGAGGACCACATGGTTGCAGAAGACTAAACTCAGGTTGGCTGTTGCAAGGTCTTCAACATAATTCATTCTCATTGCTTTCTCTCCCCCCTACATTTAATTGCTTCTTAAAAATTAATTTTATATTTTAAAAATCACTTATTTTTCTAATTATAAGGATATTACATGCCAAATACAGAAAATTTCAAAACTCGCTAATATATACAAGGAAAACCATCCTGTGCTGCCCCCAAATAACTGTTTTTGGGGCCAGGGAGGTTGTACCATTCTTACTGTTATTTTTTACCAGCTTTTTTCTACTTAGCAATATTATGAAAAAATCTTCTAGGTCAATATGTACTTTCCAAGTAATATTTTCACATAAAAATGTAGTTTCATTCTGGTAAACTCATTTTGTTTACAAAATCAGCAAACTAATTTGCTCACTACTTATAAACTGATTTTCTCACTGTTGCAGATAATGCCTCTGAGGATATTATATTTTTTCATACATCTCTGATTTTCTGTCTTCAAAGAAATCTGGGAGTGCTGGGGAGAGAGATCTATGGGCTGGGTTGCTTGCTTTGCCTGAGGGAGCCTGTGTTCAATCCTGATACTACACTGTCCCCTACACAGCACCTAGAGTGGTCCCTGATTGCGCAGCCAGAAGTAGCCCAAATACCACCAATATTACTCCAAAGCAATAATAAAAAGAATTGTTGGTTCAGAAATATGCCCCCTTGTTAAGACTTTTGTACCAATGTAGAACTTTCCAGAAAGTTTTGTGTTGTTTACAACTTTCCTATCTATGTTTGAGAATGAGCATTTACCCCCCAGCATACTAGACATTTCAATCTTTGTCAGTTTGATGGATGTAGAAGAATATATACTACTTTTATTTTTAAATTTTATTTTACTGGCTTTTTGGGTCACACCTGGCAATGGCTCAGGGGTTACTCCTGCCTCTGCACTTAGTAATTACTCCTGGCAGTGCTCAGCAGACCACATGGGAGGCCAGGGATCCAACCCAAGTCCACCACATGCAAAGCAAATATCGTACCCACTGTACTATCACTCCAGCACCTATAGCACTACTTTCAAACGTCATATTAAAGGAATATGCAATTCACTGTAGGGGTAGAGCACAGGTCTTTTGATTAGAGAGAATTGAGTTTTAGTTCTAGTCTGTCATTCAGTAACTCATGTGTCCCAGATAAAATTTTTAACTTCTCCAGATCCTGTTTTCTCTTAGAAGTAATAATTATGCTTTCTTAATATGGTTGGTGTAACTTACATAAATATTCAGCTTTGCTTGAAACACAGTAAATTCTTGATAAATGTTATTGAATAAGCTATCTTAAGGAAGAGAAGAAAAAGATTAATTGATATTTTCTGTATTTCTTGCCTGGTTTTCCATTTAAGTTTTTGAACATCAATATTTCATTGTTATATATACTATTGAGTATATCAAGTATATTCAAATATATTATGTCAATTATTCAGTTATGCTGATATGATTTTCCAGTTTGCATTTCCATTTTGTTAAGAGTTTTTACAAAAAGAAAAATTTTATACTGCCAGATAATCTTTTAATATTTGCCCTAAAATAAAGGCAAATATTTTAAAATAAAAATTTCTATTTTTTTATTTTTCCCATATCAACATTATAAAATGTTTATAAGTTTAAGTTCCATGCCTCTTAAATGCAGATATATTTTATTTTAAAACTTGTATCTTTTTAACACTGCAAATGCACTCATTTCAGGGTGGCCCTGTAGTAGAAAAACCTGAAGAAGATGACTCCCTCATTCCCATGTTTGTCACAGAACTAATGTTGACAGTAGAGTCACTGTTCTTTGAACCTTGTCTGGATGACTTTCTGGTATGTGTTTCTTCACTTAATTTCTAACTATAAACAACTTTTTGAAAATGAAGCAGCTATTTTACTGGCCATTGGTTAGCAGGATTGATCTTTTTATTTTTAATTTTTATTAGTGAAACACCGTGAGATACAGTTGTGGACATTACAAGTTTTTGTGCTTGCAGGATTGATCTTTGATCTTGGCACCTGCCTCAAATGATCATAAGAAGAAGAAAGCTATAAATACCATTTTCTAAATCTTTTAAAAATATGTGTGTAATATATATTGTTTAGTAGTTAAAGTAGCATTAAAATTTATGGAACAATATGCAAAATGACTGCACCCCAGCACCACCAAAATCCCACAAGTCCTCTGCTCTGGGCTTGTTTCCCTCTTTCTTCCTCCCGCTGCTCAGTAATTGATTTTGTACTCCTAGGCCAAAGTATGTCATTGTTCAATACTATATCTTTTTTGGGAGGGTTTGTCTCTCTGTATTCCACAGACAAGTATGATACCTTCCATTTGTCCTTCCTTCTGACTTATTTCCATTAACAGGATACCTTCCAGTTCCATTCATGTTGCAACAAGCTCCATGATTTTCTATTTTCATACATCTACATGATTTTCCATTGTGTCCTTATGTTGCAACTGCTTTATGCATTCATCCATTGTTAAACATCTGTCTTGTCCTAAATGATGCAATGAATATATATATATGTATATATATATATATATATATATATATATATATATATATATCAGCTTCTGGTTGACTGGCATGTAACGATCTGCACACTGACAAACATGCACAGTCTCTGGGCAACACCTGTTGGTTCACTCTTCGCCAGTTCGCACAGTTGCCACCTCCTTCCACATGAGGTGGTGAACCATGGAAGAGATGGGTCGAGAACTCAACATGATGAACAACTTGGCACCAGAACTGCACAGGAGGAGGAGAGTTGCGTGGAATGCCTTCAAGAACATCGAAGTAGTTAAGAGGATGAAGAACATCCGGCTCCTGCCACACCTTTTTGACTCCACTGTTATTCCTGCACTAATATACGCCTCAAACACCTGGGTCCTGTGAAAACAGGGTGAGAACACTATTCGGGTCTCCCAAAGAGGAATCAGAAGAGCTATGCTTGGAGTATCACGTTTTACTCAAATAAGAGAAGGAATTCGAGGTTCCGACCTCCATTGACTATCGAGGATTAGGGACGATGCCTCGTTTGCCAAGACATCGAAAATCAGATGGGCCAGACACGTAATGCAATTTGGAGATGACCGCTGGACTAGAGCCGTTACCAACTGGATTCCACAGGACGTCAAAAGAACGCGTGGCTGCCCACCTACAAGATGGTTGGACTTCTTCATTAAGACCCTGAATGAAGGATTTGATGCTCTTCGTGTTCCTGGAGCGAGCAGACACCATTGGGCTACACTAGCATGCCACAAGGATGAATGGAGATGTTACTGGCACCCACTTGAGCAAATCGATGAGCAACGGGATGACAAGTGATACAAGTGCTATATGTCTATATATATATATATATAAAGGTAAAAAGGTAAAGGCCCTCCCGTTGATCATCGATTTGCTCGAGCGGGCCCAGTAACGTCTCCATTGGAGACTTTGTTGTTACTGTGTCTGGCATATCGAATACTCTCGGTAGCTTGCCGGGCTCTCCGAGAGGGGCGGAGGAATCGAACTCGGGTCGGCCATGTTGGCCGCTTGTAAGGCGAACGCCCTACCGCTGTGCTATCGCTCCAGCCCATATATATATATATATATATATATATATATTTGGATTTATGTTGTTGTGTTGAGGATTATATTTCAATAAGTGGAATCACAGGGCCATGTGAAAGTTCTAATTTTATTTTTTGAAGAAATCTCTGCTCCTTCCCATAGAGACTGAACCAGACAACATTCCCAGAAACAGTAAATGGAGGGGGGCTGGAGTAATAGCACAGCGGGTAGGTCATTTTCCTTGCACACGGCCGACCCGGGTTCGATTCCCAGCATCCCACATGGTCCCCTGAGCACCACCAGGAGTAATTCCTGAGTTCAGAGCCAGAAGTAACCCCTGTACATCATCAGCTGTGACCCAAAACAAACAAACAAACAAACAAAAACGGTGAATGGAGGTTTTTGCCTCAGTGCATCCCCACCAACACCAGTTGTCTCACTGACAATGCTAATTGTTTTTTTTTTGATATATGACATTCTCATTGCTGTGAGATGAAACCTCATTTTGATTTGCATTTCCCTAATAAGTGTCGATGAACATTTTTCGCATGTCTATTAACTATTCTTTTGTGTCTTTTGGAGGGTGTCTATTTATCTCTCCTCCACATATTTTGATGGGTTTGTTGGATTTTTTTTGTTGTTAATCTTTGTGAGTGCTTTATACATCCTGAAAATTAATCCTTTATGTGATGCATTGTGTGCAAAAATTTTCTCCCAGTCAATGGGGTGTCTTTCTATTTTACCTTGAGTTCCTTTTGCAACGCAAAAGCTTGATAATATTATATAAGCCCATTTTTTTTATTTGTGTTTTTATCATCTTTGGCCCTAGAGTCAAATCACTGAAGACACTTCTGAGAGAGTTTGGCTAATCTTTTATTTTGTCTATTTTATAAAGTCTGGTTCATAAAATATGCTGAAGAATGGAAACCATGTGGTCACTTGAATAAACAGTTTTCAATATGGTTGAAAACTGATGATGGTTGTTACTTCTTCAGCTAAAGAATCTCCCTTGGGAAAGATCCAGTTAATTTTTTTTTATTAAAGCATTGTGATTCACAAAGTTCAGTGCTAGGCATACAGTGTTGCAGCACCGATCCCACCACCAGTGTCAACTTCCCTCTGCCAATGTTCCCAGGTTCCCTCACACATTCCCCACCCCGCCTCCAGCCTGCCCTCTTGACAGGCACCTTTCTAAGTTTGGCTGTTAAAGCTCGTGTCTCTTGATTTCAGTGTTGTTGATGCTGTGGTTTGGATATTTGGCTCTATCATTCTTAGCACCACCTTTGTACCCGAATCCCCTGAGATGCCCTTGTTGTTTCTCATCTGTTTCTTGCCCTCATCCCCTCCACTCTTTCTTTCCTTCTCCTTCCTATACTCAGGGTCCAAGTTTGAAAAAACATTGCATTCCCTCATCCAATTATTTTAAATATTGCATACAAGTTAAATCATCCTGTGATTCTTCTCCTTCTAGTTTACTTCATTTAACATGATGTTTTCCAGTTCCATCCATGTTGCCACAAATTGCATGGTATCATTATCCCTTATAGCTGTGTAGTATTCCATTGTGTATATATACCACATCTTCATGATCTACTTACCTGTCTTTGGATATATTTGAGTGCAGCAATGAATAATGATGTGCAGACATTCTTTTAGGTGAATGTTTTTCTGTCCTGAGGATAAATACCCAAAAGTGGAATTGCTGAGTCAGATGGGAGCTCAATTCTGAGTTTACTGAGTATCTTCCATACTCTTTTCCATAGGGGACTTTTCTTTTATCCAATTAAGTAGACTCAGGACAAGTCACCATTTTTTATTACATAAAAGTGAACTGATTTGATCCTTTAGTCTGCAAAATCTCTTATCTGTCTATATAATTAATCTAATTATGGAAGCTATTAGTCTTATGTTATATTCATAAGTATACAGTGCTTCCCTTTTTGAAGCAGTGGGTGTGACACAGAGCCTGTAACCAAGGGAGCAGATTTGTATTGATTAGTAAGTCAATCCGAGCATTTCTGTTGTAAGCAGGTATATTGAGGCGCAAAGGCAGTAACAATAAGCATCTTGAGAAGCTGCTCTTGATTATAATTAATAACTTGTTTGATCTTGAGAAAACTACTAATCTCTCAGGTTTGATTTGTACCTGTGTGTGTGTTCAAAAAAGTGTAGGCGCGCATCACATGTGCTGGCTGGCCATGAGCCTCTTCCCTACCCTGGCAGTCACTGCTGCCACTGCTGCCAATAGACACATGAAGGAGGGAACAGGGCTGCCAAACTGGTTGGTGATCAGTCATCGTTTATCCTAATCTCCGTCCCACTGTTTATTCCATTATCCCTGCACACCTTTCCAGACTCACTGCGTGCCTCATTCCAGTTTTCCCTGCCCCTCATTCCCATCTCCTACTATCCCTCATGCTAGTCTCCCTGTACCCAGTCTCACATCTTAGTTACAGAGCACACTCACCAAGCGTTACAATTACACAAAGGTGAGACAGCACAATCAACATATGTAAAGCCCTTCCTTCTGGGCAAGGTCTTCTAAGACAAAGGTCTCATCCTGCTAGAAGATCCACCCAACCCAAGGGCAAAATTTCATCTAAGAGTGTATTTCTCCTTTCCTTAGTCTATATCTATTTAGATAATCATCTTAAATTTACTTCTTAATAATCTTTCTAGTCATTTTGTATGGACAAGGTAAGAGATATTAAGCTGATAAGGAGGCTCTCTTGGAGACATCTAAATATATATCCCAGACTACAGTCCTCAAGCCAGATTTGTCCTTTCTAACCCCAGCAGGGTCCTTATTCAGTTACTTCTTTTTGGGTCATGACAGAGTTTGTCCATGACCATGCTCTTAACTTATAATACGTTTTATGGTGCTTGACCTGTCCCTTTTTGATGCCAGGGTAGATTAGAGCTTGCCCTGGGACCAACCAATCCCTTCATCAGGACCCTATTTTGGGGGTGCTAGGAACTAAGGGCAATAGAGGCTTAAGTCTAGTAAATATGTCAGGTACCCTGAAGTAATTATTATTCAGAGTCAATTAACTTCCAACTATCAAGAGCATAGCATCAATTGTCTTCCTGTGTCTATACAAAAAATAATACTACTCTAAAGTAAACTGCAAAGGGCATAAAGGAAAGAGAAAAGCAATACAAAATTTCATTTACAAATACAAAAATCCAGAGATCTCTGAAGAATCTGACTTTACAAGTCACAGCTTCTGATAAGGGGAAATGAGTGATTAACAGATAAGGAAAGCAGAGCAC